GTGGCCAGTTACTGGTCAAAGGACATTTAATAGGAATGCCAAGTTAACAAACTTTGTATGTGTGAGTGTTTTTTTTTTAAAAAAATGGAATACAACTGTTTGGTTTGCTCCTGATATGATAAATAAATAAATACTAAATAAATAATATTTCATTTTTGAAAATATTATGAGGTGACCTTGCCTTGAAAGATGGCTAAAAATATTTTAAGTACAACTTAATGAATTGTACATGACTTTGAATCCTACATCGCTCCCAAAAATCCATGTTGTAACTTGCTTAAACAATTTGGAAAACACTCAAGAAACAGATCCTACTCGAGAAACAGATCCACCTTCCTTCTCCCTCCCTACCTGTCTCTTACTACATACACATTTACTTCCCCTGTTTCTGTGTTCTGTCTGAGAGGGAAACACATTTTTATTACCTTGGTTTACAGCAGCTGTCAGTAGATGGTTCATAGAATATTCTGGATCTCTTTCAACGTTGAAGGGAGATTTTTATAACCAAAGTTCTGTAAATGAAAAATTTTGCAGTACAAAGCACACATTGCACAGTTCACTGCACCACACATAGCTGTGTGCCTGCACCCATAAAATGAAAGGTCACCATATTTATTTTAAGCTTGTGAGACTTTAGCAGCAATTCAGTGAGTTGCAAGAATACTGAGGTGAATGAATCTACATGTTTTTCGCTTTGTTGCCTCTTACTTTTTTCCCCTACTTTCTGATTCTGTCCCTGCTTGAATAAGCCAATACAGAAATAGTTTTAAAAGGAAATATCCAGACCAGTCTTTCTGTCTCCATGCCTGCTTTAGATTGGAACATGGCTAACTCAGGAAATGCTAGGAAGACAGAAAGTCAGGACTATAGTATCATACTGTATAAACAGTTTTCTTCACAGATAAATGGTAGAGATGGGTTGAGTCGCAGCCGAGCATAGGATAGTAAGAAAGCATTACTTTCTTGAAGATGTTCCTACCAATTGTTGGAATGCACATTTTGCAATATCCACAAATATGATTGTCGGAAAAGGGGAGGGCATTCATAATACCCATAAACGTGTTCTGGAATGTAACATAATCTTCCTCATTTATGATTGGATAGCAGTCATGTGCAGTAGTTCTTCACTTTTACAGGGGTTAAATGTGCAGAAAAGTGGCAAAAACTGAAATTAAAAACTCACATTTTTTAATCTGAGGGAACATTTCTCTAGGCATTTCTAGATCCTCCAGAATGACTAGAAACAGACCACAGAATTTTGTCGAAGGACCTAGAAATTCCTCAAAAAGTGTTATCTCAAGGAATCTCTGGGCCCTCCAGAATAATAATAATAATAATAATAATACTTTATTTATACCACACTACCATCTCCCCAGGGGACTTGGTGTGGATTACATGAGGCCGAGCCCAAAATACAACAATACAAGCAATAACAATAACAATACAAGCAATTAAAAAACAACAAAACCGTAAAACAATACATAAGCATTATCAATAGGACAACACACTTTAAAATCTATGGGTATGACTCTATATGTTCAACTTCTGGTGGAACTTGACTGTAGAAATGTCTGGATGACCTAGACATTCCTAGAGAGAATGTATTAATCAAACTCACACATTTTTAAATCCAGGGGAATTTGCAGTGGTACTGTAGCATGCTTTACAACTGAATATGTACAATTACTGTACATACACAGAAAACAATTATTAAGAAAGTAATTAAATGTTAAAAAGTGGAGAAAGGTTTTAGCCATATTGCTTTATAAATTGGTTTCCAATTTTGGTTGGAAAACAGTATTGCAGAACATGAAACAACTGATCTGTTACAAAAAAAAACTAAATTAGAATTTCATTTTTATTTATTTTTGATTAATCATTATATACATGCAATTACCATTTAAGCACATGCTATTTGATTTATGTTTCATGCTGCAAAAGAAGATGATAGTACACATGTTAACAGTACCCAATGTATCTTATATACTTGTATAGCTCAAGAAGGCAATTATGTGATAGTATCATATAAGTCAATCACATTCATTGTCATAATTTGAATTATGTGCTGCAGTCCTTGGTGTCATTCTCATCCTCTTTCAGGCAGCTATGCATTGTCAGTGCATATAGATCGGCAGTGTTGGCAGCTGGAAAGATATTGACATTCCTGTCCTCAGTATATGTGCATGAACACTTCATAAACTTTAGAAAAGCCCAAAAAGACAGTGATATTGTTGTTGTGTTAGGTATGAGTCATGGTGTATAAGAGATGGACTTGAATTTTGGAGATCAAAGTTTTACTGTCCATTGAGTCAAATTTAATCAGTGTCTTTGACCAGCCATTCTCTCTGTGTTTGACTTAAGCTCACAAAGTTCTTGTAGGATAAAAGGGAGAGGAGAGCATGGATGTAGCTATGTGGGGTGTAGACAAGAAATATTCCCCAGTAAGAATTTCATCATCATCATTACCTATATTCTTCTTCTTCTTCTTCTTCTTCTTCTTCTTCAAAGAAATAAAGAAAGAATGATTGCAAATACATTTGGTGGAATCTGGAGGAAGCAGGCTTTCTCGCTGCTCAAACAACTCAGGATATCAACTCTGGGTAGTCAAAAAGTCTCTGTAGAACAAAAGTCAGCCCTTTTCTGACTTACTTTTCTAACTTACGGACTTAAATTTGGGAATCAGAAGTCTCCCCGACTTACCAGAGGGTCCTATTTCCATCCTGCAGAAGGTGCACAGAGCATGTGGACCTCCTTCTTTTTCTGTCGTAACAACAACTTTCCAGGAGCCCAAATCACTAATATGGCTTCCTGCATGACACTTCTTCTAGGTCAAGAGTAAGTTGGCTGATCCAAGGACAAGTTGTTCAGCAGGCAGATATGATTGGATGTGGAGGGCTTATAATGGTTCCCTGGTTGCTCCATCAGTCCATTAGCATTCTAGAATATCCCAACCTTGACCGAGGGAGACCTCATGATTTTGTGGAGGAGAGTTAGTAAAATTGAAAGCTGAACAAGCACCTGAGTGGATGGAAAGACTAACAACAACAAAAAAAGGTTGAGGAAAAAAGCAAGGGGGGATTAAATGTCATGTGGGAGATTGAAGGATTTTCTAAACAATGTGAAATTTTTAAAGACTGGGCTATACTGAGATGAAAAAAGACCACTGAAAAAGAAAAGGAGTAGAGGAAAGACAATAAAAATAGCACTGTGAGGTAGGATAAAAGAATTTGAACCTAGTTGGGTGATCTCAGTAGTAGCATTCAGATCAAACAATTACAGTTTAAATCTAAATGTATAATTGAAAACATCTCAGCAACAGAAGGATAAACACACTCTCTTAATGGCACATGCTACATCTGGCAAACAGCACCTTAAGTGTATCATTTGGGTATGTCTATTGCATATAAGTAATGCCAATTTAAAATACTTTCAACCTGATTCATTGTCCTTATTTCCTTGATGCTTCGGAATTTAATATACTGATGGCAAAGTCATAGAAAAAGTGCTCCTGAAATCAGTCTCTTACTAACAACACAATGATTAAATGCTCATTATTATACAGCAAGAGAGGATTGGATTTGGAGACACTTCTGCTATTTTAAATCCTAACAGATATAGTAGAACAAGAGTGTGGCTAATTGAAAGTGTCTTATGTCATTTGAACTCATTAGAGGAAGCTGTTTATTAAATGTTTCTTTCTGAAAACAACCAGTGCACTCCAACAGCCAATTTCTTACATGAATGAACTAAAGTACTTGTTTCAATACTACCAGAAACAGAGTTGACAATTTATAGCATCTATGCATGCTTTCTCTCTTCCTATGTGTGTATTTTATTTCCTAGACTAGCTTAAGTACCCATCAATTCTCTGGTTAGGTCGTTTATAGCAATATTTACTAGAAAAGTCATTGTTTTTTGAGATTTCATGAATGGTCCCATTATTTATTTTTTTACTTTACTTACTTAGGTCATCCCTCATTGTCAAATGTGTAAACGTATAAACTGGATAGGCATGGGAGGCTGTATAATAAGAGTCCTTTCTACACTTCTTCTGAGAAAAGAGTATTTAGCAGTCTAAAATGACTTTTAATAATACCAACTTGAATTGCAGCTTTGAATTCATTGGCAGACTAGCAATTATGGTGTGCATTCAGTTTTCGAACTGAATTTGCACTCCTCTTTGACACAGATGACTTCATTTCCATTCTCCTCCTCCTCCTCCTCCTCCTCTTCCTCCTCTTCCTCCTCCTCCTCCTCCTCCTCCTCCTCCTCCTCCTCCTCCTCCCCTTTTTGAATGGGGCAATCAGTGGCTGTCTCAGCTCATAGGTTGGTAATGGCTATGCCTAACTGGCATGAAAAATGGAATAAGTATGTGTTTATACTTGCACAAGGAGGTGTCAGGTGCCCCCATGAAAAAGTTTTGAAAAGTACAATTGCTCATACAATTGGAAGTTGAAGGAGGACAATTACCCAACTGGATCCTAGCCTGACTCAACAGGGAAGTCCCTTGAAACAACAGGGGCCCTGTCAGGGGATGGATGCATGTAACTTTGTATATATGTGTGTGTGTGTGTGCTGGAAATGCTACCTTTCTTGCAGTCATTCATGCAATGCAATGAATATGAAAACATGATTTAATTAGTTATTTGATCCTTCTTTGCCCAAATAGCTGTATTATCCACACTATTGCAGTTATTGCAGAGTGTGATTTCTACAAGGAAAATTCACAAGGCCATAAAAGGTGTAGAAACTCAATTTGCACTTCCACTTTTTATTTAGAAAGGAAGACAAGTGGTTCTGTATCACCAGTTTTAATAACTAGATGTCTAAAATCAGAGATGGTTTGAGTTGGCACATCTGTAATAATTACCAGTCTTTCCCAAAGAATCAGAACTAGGTGTTCAGGTTTTTCCCCCTTGAATAAGAGGTTGATTCTATTCTATTCTATTCTATTCTATTCTATTTAAGATATGTTTGTTTTCTGTTTTGTTTTCTTACAGCTAGCTGCCCTCGAGAGACAGATCTTTGACTTCCTTGGATTCCAGTGGGCTCCTATCCTTGGTAATTTCCTGCACATAATAGTTGTCATTTTGGGTTTGTTTGGAACTTTACAAGACAGACCTCAATATATAGTTGTGGTAAGTTTTGATTTTGTTGACTTTTTGTTTTCCAAATAGGATATTATACTTCATATCATTTCTTTTGTACTTGAAATTATTAAAATGTGATTTTTAATGCAGTCTTCTGTTATTCAATTTTTCATTAGAAGTACATATATCTTAGATTTTGCCTGACCAGAAGGAGATTGTAAAATTAATACAGAAAGAAACCTATGCATTTATGGAATTGTTACTGTAATACTGTCCCCATATTTCTGCCATGCAAAAGAGAGTTGTTGTTGTTGTTGTTGTTGTTGTTGTTGTTGTTGTTGCTGTTGCTGTTTAAAGACAAAACAGCTGGGCAAAAACTATCCAGATAAACTGAAGTATTGGATTTTATCATCTGGGGTTTTTTTTGTCCTACATTATGTGATATATTGGGACAGTGTATTTTGTGGTCAGAGCAATGCAGAGAAGCTGAGAGTGTTCAGAGGAGAAACAATTATTTTCTCTGCTTAAAAATACACATTCACCTAATCCTACCCAGAAAGCACCAAGCAGAGATATTAATGTTATGAGAAACTGGGACAGAAATACTAGTGCAGACATCCACACACAGTTCCTTATAGAAGAGCTGGAAACATCATCGGATAACACCCAATGCCAAAGAAAAATGCAAAGTAACATGCCTAGAAACTTTTGAATCACTGTTCAAGAAAGCATTCTTTACCACAGAATATCCATGATGTGTGCAATGGGTATGAAATGACAAGACCTTTTCTGAAGTCAAAATGTAGACGGTCTTTGACATCACTGAGGTGAAGGCATGCATTGGTTTACAGCAGGAGTCCTCAAACTTTTTAAACAGAGGGCCAGGTCACAATATCTCAAACTGTTGGGGGGGGGGGGCTGAATTATAATTTGAAAAAAGCATGAATGAATTCCTATGCACACTGCACATATCTTCTTTGTAGTGCAAAAAAAACCCACTTAAAAACAATACAATAATTAAAATGAAGAACAATTTAAACAAATATAAACTTATTAGTATTTCAATGGGAAGTGTGGGCCTACTTTTGGCTGATGAGATAGGATTGTTGTTGTTGTGTGCTTTCAAATCATTTCAGACTTAGGTTGACCCTGAGCGAGGGCCGGGTAAATGACCTTGGAGGGCCGTATCCGGCCCTCGGGACTTAGTTTGAGAACGCCTGGTCTACAGCCTCTGACAGGCATGTAGCATTTACAATATGAAAGCAGAATTATGTGTTTCAGTCCTTGGTGTCATTCTCATCCAGATAATCTGGATTCCAGAATTGAATTATATGGCAATGTAGATGGAAGCCCAGTCTCAAAACACTGCTCCTTCAGTGTAGTTGTGCATTCACATAACTTAATAATAGGAAAACACAGGTCATGTACACAGTAATCAATAAACTTTTAGGACAAGTGGACTGTATTTATTCATTAGATGTAAATATGTTACTGATCTGATGGGGGTCTGGTCATAGAAAACCAGATGGTTGGAGTTCAGTAAATGTCTTTTCCAGCTATAGGTATATTCTAAATATAAGCACTTTCCACTGGTTTTCCTGTTCACTGCCCTACTGCAGAAGAAATTGTGAGGAGATATGACTTTTTTGTACAACTTTTATAACAATTTCATTGCAGGGATTGTTTACTAAACATTTGGGGTGGGGGGTAAAATACAATATATCAAAATGGAAGCAGCATTATTTGCTCAGTATTTAAATTAAATTGTTTATTGCTCATATAATTCATATCACACAATTATTAACCTGATGGGTAATGGGTTGGTTTTCAAATCTGTTGTAGTATGCCATAATTTATGTATGAATATGCATATCTTCAAAACACAGAGAGGGATGAATTACAAATTATTTATTTTGTGAGTAATATTTTGCAGTTTACTGTTAAAAAATGAATATATTTGCTTCTCATTTACAACATAGAGATTTCCAACATAATGTACTGAAGGAGAAATGCAATGGGATAAATAGTAATACCACTATTTTGAACATTTTAATTAGTGTAACTTCAAAATATTCTTTATCAGCTGTGTTATATGCCACTTTGATGTAGAACAAATGTGTTCTGCTTTGCTGCAAGATTACTGGAAATGCCAAATCTATTTACATATTTTGAGAGGTTGCCCATATGTTAAACAGTTTTAGGAAAGAAATATTGCATGTAATTTGTTAAATGTCAGAACAGTGACCTTCTCCAGATACTATAATAATTCTGTTGAAATGTTTAAAGGTACAGATCCAGCTGGAGGAGTGCCAATAGACAGTGATTCTCTTGTGACTATAACAAAAAAAAAAAAAAAAAGGAAGTTGTCTAAGGTTTAACAGCAGTGTTACATTGCAACATTGGAATATAATGGCAGTTCAAGAGGACTCTCTTCTTTTCTTTCAACCTGTAACCCTCAGTACTGTCCGAAATCTGGTTCTATAATGTTTCCTAGCATCAACAACAAACTTTGGAGATGAATAAAAGGTGGGATCCTAGTGGGAAGAGGAAATGTCTCCGCACATGCTTCCTATTAGATTTCAGCCTGAAAGTCCACTAATTGAATAAGGAAATTTGAGGAGCAGCTTAAACTGACATACTTCTTAAGGAGCTAAGAAGATACAAAAAAAGGTCCACAGAAAAATGGTCTCTATTCACAAAAAATTGAAATATTCAAATGTTAAATATAATAGTTTCCCTTTCTCTTCCCCCTAGTCTTTTATAAGATCTGTTATGATTTTTTCATTGAATTAGGATTATTGGACTGTGTGATGTTAACATTTATATTAATATTTTTAACTCCACATTTTAATGTTTGACTGTTGTTGCAATTTTATGATTTACTTGATAGCTGTATGTTATTATTGTTTTATGTTCGGTTTTTATATATGTGAAGCATTGAATTTTGCCGTATATATGTTGGAAACCACTTTGAGTCCCGTCCCCCACCCCCACCCCCAGGGTGAGAAAAGCAGTATACAAATAAATAAATAAATAAAGCTGCTGTTGTTGTTTATATGCATTCAAGTCATAGGCTGAACTGATTTGAGGGCTTTCTCAGTAAGAATTATTCAGGGCCCTTTCACATAGCCATATCACCCAGAATATCAAGGCAGATAAACCACAGTATCACCTTTGAAACTGGGTTATCTGAGTCCACACTGCCATATACAGTAATCCCTTTCAATGTGGATTTTATACAGCTGTATGGAAAGGGCCTCAGAAGGGGTTTGCTTTGTACTCTGAGAGAATATGACTTAACCAAGGTCAACCAGTAGGTTTCCATGGCTTAGTAAGGATTTATACTCTTGACTCCACAAGTGTAGTTCTAATATTCAAACAGCCCCAACATGCTTTGCTCTAATTGCACTTTTATTGTATTTTAACATTTTAATAAAAAAATGATATTTTCCTTTGGCAACTCTTGGTGATAAAGATGAGAACTTTGTAGAATTGTGAATCAAATTCAGTGAGGTCATTCTACTTTTGGAACTACTTGTATCAATGGAACCTGTAGTGGGGAAGTGCCTTGCTCCTCCGTATAACCCACTTGCTTTCTACATCCTCCTTTTCCCCCCTCACATTGCTAGGACACTGCTTCTTTTTATTTTTAAATACTTTTATTGAAAATCTTTTAAAAATTAAAATAAGTAGGGATAATATGGGGAAAAGGAAAGAGGGAAAAGTAAAAGAAGGAAAAAAGAAAAAAAGGGGCATAGGTAGGGATAGTTTTGGGTCCTTCCAATCTTCTTCATCGCTGCTGTGATAATTTCCCTGTTTTAACGTTTATTTCCTCGCTTTCTATATTTCTATTTAATTTCTCTGTGGGAGCAGATTTCTTTAAGTGATAGGACTGGCTATATAATTATATTCCTTTCCTCTGATAACAAAAAGTCTTTAAACATTTGCCAATTTGTTGCCTTTTCCATTGTTACTTGGTGTTTTTTTTAAAAAAAATAATGGTGTCAGTTTGTCCATGTTCATTAATTCCATAATTTTAAGAAATCATTCGTCAGTGGAAGGTATTTCTTTTTGTCTCTAGTGTCTGGCACTGCTTTTAAACTGTGGGTTCCTACCCGTTGGCTCACTGTTGGGGCCACAAAAATTGGCAACAGTAAATCTGTTACCAGTAATAGTGCTGTGACTATACATTTGTATTTGATAAAAAGAGGGTGAGTCTGGATGACCCATGGAGTTCCTATTTGAAAAAGAAAGAAAGAGGGAAAAGTAGTTTTCTCGATCTGCCAAAGGCAATTAGAAAAGCTCAGAGATTTCTGGGGGCAAAGAAGCTTGGGAGACACTGATAAGACATTACTTTCTTACTGACTAATACCATTTTTTTAAAAAAAGACTTTTGCCTGGTATGAATCAACTAAAGAAAATAGAGTCTTCATTACATACAAATATTCACACCTACTTTTATGTTAATTCCTTGATGAATCAATGATGTAATGCTGTTTGTCATAGCCAATCACCAGAGCTTTTATGTAAAAACACAAGGTTATAAATTTCTGTTCACATCGCTGTACAGTTTAGAAACTTTTGTTTTAAGGACTTTTTCACAATTCTGTAGAATGCTAAGAATTGCATTGATTTTCCATATTTGTAAATATTTTTGTTAAATTCAAAAATTCTCCATAACACCAACAATGGTCAGTACTTACAGTGGACTCTGCAGAAAATGCTTCATCTCTACTTCATAAAAAGGGGAAATCAGCCTGTTCGGCAAGCCTTGCTGGTGCTGATTTATTATCAGTAAATGCTTGGTTTTTATATCTGTTTTTATAGTGATATAGCCAGTGTCATGCAAAAATTAATTGGGTGAAAAGAGGCTTCATGTAGAATAAGTTTAAGAAGCCCTGGGCTAGGAAACATTTTGGAGCAGATTTTCAGACACTACAGAGGAAGGTGAATAAAAGGAGGTTTCTGCTAGTTTGACATTGTATTTAGGCTTTCAGTTCTGTGGATGTTCAGATCATCCCCAAACACCACTTATGCAGGTTCTTAAT